CATGGACCAGCAGAGTAGGCAGAGAGAACAGGTCCAACTGAAGGTGCAAGTAGTGGTGAAGATACAACTGGTCCTACACTTCTAGCGAGTAAAGGAGATGGAGCAGCAAGTCCAATGGGTAACGATCTAGCAATAAGTGGAGATGACACAATGGGTGAAGGCAAAAGTGGTTGTGATATGAGTGGTGAAGAGTATGCCGAGATAACGGGGCTACCAGTTAGTACTCCAGCGTTAGCGTAGGCCAAAATGGTGGCGAAAGCGAGAATCTGTAAAAAGAGTATTATTAGTCAAAAAGTTTTTTCTCTCTGTTTGTTGTTTATTGATTAATGTTAGTGTCTCGCTTTACATGTTGGAAGGCAAGGATTACCTTTCAAAGTCAGATTTAATTTTAATTTAAGTTACTGTTCTATCTATACCATAATTGTTCTTGATTCTCCAACATAATCTTTCAGGATATAGTATGCTTCAACCCCAACATATTAATGTTTGCTACTGTTCCAAATAATAATAAATAAAATAATTTTAACATATTAATTTAACGCATTGTTGACAAGAGTCAGATTAAGACACATACTTCAAGTTACATTGACTGCTCTGTTCAAGCATCTGTTCTAAAAATGTCATTTTCATCAGTTACACATTACTGAATCCAGCTCAAGAAAGTTTGATACAACATAGGTCAGAGAGTAAAAAACAGTGGATAACAGAAGAAATACTATTACAGATGAAAGAAAGAAGGAAACAAGATCTACAGAAGTATAAAGAAATACACGAACAATTAAGAAAAAAATTAAAACAGCTAAGGAAATCTATTTGATAAGACGATGTAAAGAGATAGGACTAGAAACAAAATATGATATGAGAAATATGCACAAAAAATAATAGAAGTGACTGGAATGGGTCGAAATAGACAGTAAAGACACATAAAAGACAAAAAAGCAGTACTACTAAAATATTTACCAGAGAAATTAAAACGATGGGAGGAGTACGTTAAAGAACTTTTCCAAGATAAAAGAGGTGAAATGCGCAAAATATAAGAATTAAATCCTTTAGAGAGATAGAAGATCACGATAGATAAAATGAAATATGTTATCAAAAACTCTAAAGACAATAAGACAGTTGGATTAGATGAAATACCAGTAGAGCTGTTAAAATTAGTGGAAGAGGATAACTTGGAAGTATTGGCAGATTTATTAAACACGGTGTATGATACAGGAATAATACCACAAGAGTGGCTGAAGTCAGCATTTATAACCAATCCTAAAAAACAAGCAGCAAAAGAGTGCGCTGATTATCGAACATTAAGCCTCATGAGTCATACTCTAAAAGTACTCCTGAAAGTAATATATAAGAGAAGAATATATGAAAGGCTAGAGGAGGATATTAGCGAGACGCAGTTCGGGCTTTGAAATGGAATGAGACAAGAAGGACTATTTGCCATTAACATATTGATCCAGAGATGTCGGGATGTAAACGTTGATTTACACTTGTGCTTTGTTTACTACGAAAAAGCTTTCGATACAAACTTTTCGCCACTATACAAACCAGAAAACTGAAATACCTAGGCCACGTGATGAGGGGACCAAAATATGAAATTTCGAGACTGATAATACAGGGAAAGATTCAAGGAAGAAGATCTGTTGGCCGAAGGCAGAACTCATGGTTTAAGAATCTACGTGAGTGGTATAAATGTAGATCGATTGATTTGTTTAAAGCAGCAAGATTATAAATAAAAATGGCCATTATGATTGCCAGCCTCCGTAGGTAGCCGGCACTCTAAGAAGAATCTAGGGCTCATAGAGAGACTACACGTCTCACGGTCAGCAACCCTAATTGGGATTATTGGGATGCCATGCAGTAAACTTAAACATCATATAAATTTATTGGCAAAAATGTAATAATTAACAAATTTAATATCGTTTAAGGATTTTTAACCACATATTCAGTAGCTTCACTCATGTATACCTGTAAGTATTCAATCACATTTGCTTTCACCTTAGTCAAACCTTTAACCTTTACGTTTGTCTTTATTAAAGTGGTTATACTTATTTTAAGGTAACTGCACTGATGATGAACTTGTTATTCCGAAAACGTTATGTGATGTAGCCCGAAAGGGCCTTTTTAAAATATATAAAAGGATTTTTAAATATAATTAATAAAAATTAAGCTAAATGATCTTATATTCTTATAAAAATTATCCTTATATTAGTCAAGCTAGTCCAATTATAACTAGTTTAGCCTAGTTGCACATATTTTCCAACCGTAAGCCAACAGTAAGGGTATGCCATGGACGTATAAACATAGATGGACACAGCAATAATATACCTTTAACACACAATGTTTTGAAGCTTCGATAGAATGTGATGCTTCCGCAATGAGCATAAGCGTGCTTGAATTTTTACTCGCGGGTAATTATTCAGATTTTAAAAATTGGAAGTAGTAATGATGTATAAAAACACGTCCAAAGAATTTTAAAAAACGAGAGTTTAACTATTAACAAATCACGTCTTTATAGAAAAATTAAAATACTATTGTTTGCTTTGCTTTAAAATTATTACAATAAAATATAGTTGAATTCAAGTTAATTTTTAATAGGTATCAAAATAATGCTACAATAAAAAATCTTTATGTTTTCTCCTAAATTTGCTACCAAAATAGTTCGATCGTCAGTATTATTTGGAAACCTACATAGAAAAATAAATGAGTTTTATTCATTTCACTAATTTATTTGCATCCATGAGAAATATTAAATTAAAAAGGTACTAAATAGATCTTTTTTAATCAGATGATTACTACTCTCTACCATCTACTTACAATTTAAAAATGTCTACTAATTTCATGAACTTATATCTTATTTAATATATTAATGAACATGAATAAACCGAATGGTACGCCTATTAAAATGTAAACAAACACGCTTCCTCATTTCCTCATCCTTAATAATGTAAATTTTATGTACTTACAAATGAAATGAGAGATCGGGATGTAAATTTTTCGTTTATTTTATTTCACTTTAAACAAATATCACTCAAAATACTGCCAAAATATCGAAAAACAACTTTTACTAAAAAGTAAACAAACATGGAATAGCATTTGAAGTTTGACGTAGATCCATAAGACAGAGAAATGTAAACAACCGTTGCCATTTATAAATAGTTTTCAGTGCTTCTACATATAAAATAATTGATTGATATCTAAATTATACGTTATTATTAAATGATAATGCACACTATTTGCATACTTTATATTTTGATTATAATTAAATATATTAATCTAACCAATAAATTATTATTTTGGTTTGATAGCACCTGTAGAGTATAAAATACGGAGTAATATTTTCAGCGACTCGCGAATACGAAATTTTAAAACAAAACGTGACAACAGTTGAAGGTGCTGAGAATGTGACCTATTCAAATAATTTTGACTTCACAATTTTATGTAAATAACTGTTTTTTATGTATGAAATTTTATGTATGAAATATGAAATTTAACTAATTATTTAATAAAGAACGAAATGCTTTACATTTTGAATATTAAGTAATGTATTATATGGCAGGCAAAAAGCAAAATAGTAGAAGATAATCAAATATTAATTACACATGTTGCACAGCTAACAATTATTTAACGGTTTTATAAATCTAAAATGCAATTTACTGATGTTTATTAATTTGTAGTCAGATTGTAATTTACATATTTAATATGGTTTCAACAGAGGCATCATACATAGCCATTTAGTACGAAATAAAGCAAACTTTTAGTTACTTGAATGTGTAATACAGTAGGACTTGAATGCAGTTGCAGTTTAATTAATCTATTGAAATAATTTATCGATTGAAATAATGTTCATATTTAGCATTTTAGCCAAGGTAAACCACAATAAAGTAATCAATATTACACTAAAAACCGACTATAATGATCGAGGTCCGCAGGCCATAGCAAATGTATACGCAAAAGAAAGATAAAAAGTATTCAGAGACAAATTCAATTGTTCAGAGAGATATATTAAAGATGTGTTTGGTGCCTTATTTCTCAATAACATCTATTTAAAGAATGTGTAGCAGAAACTGTAGGCAGAGTTTTGTGCAATTTATTAGTATTTATTTTCTTTGGACCAAAGAACTCTCTCTCTTCAATTCTGACCCCCCAGGGGGAGTGTAGTGGTCGACGTGATGTCCTGTATTGTCCGTCTCCAGAGATCTCTGTCTCTGGTCATTTCTTTTAATTCATGCATAGCTCTTTGGCATATTCCTGTAATTTGATCTATCCATCTTGTTGGGGATCTTTCCTTCGGCCTCCTACCTTTCCTTGTATTATGAGTCTTTCCATGTTTTCTGTGTTTGCTCTCATAACATGCCCAAAATATTTTAATTGTTGGAGATGGACTTTACTAGAGAGTCGTTGGCTAACTTTTAGCTCTCTTAAAATTGAATTATTTGTTCTACGGTCGGTCCAAGGAACATTTCAGTGGCGTCTATCTTTCTTCTCTCCGATTGTCTCAGAGTCCAAGATTCACATCCGTAGGTCAGTATTGGGAATATTAAGCAGTTGTTCAACCTCATCTTTATCGCTCTTGAAATTTGACAGTCCTTCCATATTTTGGTCATTTTTGCTGTGGCAAAATTGTGGACCAAAGAAGGGAAGTCAGAAATAAAGATAAAAAGTTTTTGTGGCAACCCTGTGATAATTTTAACCTCGGCTTAAAGCCAATTCGTTGCTTATGCCTTAGTTTAAATAATAAACAGTGCGGGGTGCATGGTGGATTGCGTTTTCAGAAGTATTATTTGTAGTGGTGAATTTGCTGGTTAGAAGTTTGAAAAATGACAAATCCGTACATCCGATGTGTGTAAGTATTGCATTTATATAAAAAACTTTTTAAAATTTGGTCTGTGGTGTAATATGTATAATATAGAAATATTAATTAATAATTTATCTTAAAATTATTTATACTTCGAAATAATACTTTAGTATTTCATAATTAAACATTGATTAGGGATGTGATCATGAACACGCTAGGCGTGAATGTGGGCGGTGGGTAATATATTTTTTTGTCTGGTAGTATTATAATATCAACCTATTTTTTATTGTTTTAGTGGTAATACTTTGGAAGAAGCATTAGCTATGGTTGAAAACAACCATAAAGATTTAAGTAAAATATTTATAGCGACTCCAGATCCAAATGTACTGACTGACGATGATTCTGGTGATAAGGAAGGAGGACTAGTTGATAACTTAATCGGTAGACAATTACGTGCAGGTGCAAATGTTGTGATGAATCCATATAATGGGAGTCAGGATCAGTTATAATATGAGGGGAGTAAACAGCAAATAAATGACTCGGTTAATGAAGCCAAAACCATAGATAATTCTATCAAAAAATCTGCTAAGAAAGCTTATCTAGAGACTAAATGGATAGCAGGTGATATAGTACTACCCTTGTTCAATATTCCTTTTTCTTATACAAAATACAAAGATTTAAGTCCATATAATATATTTCGATTGATTATAGATGACAACGTTTTGCGACTTTTTTGTCCAAAAAGTAATAAGTATGCTGCTTTTAAAAAACTTGTTCAGATTTCAATGTAATTCTTGAAGAGAAAAAATAAATGTAAAAATTAAAGAAGTATAAGCGTATTAGATCAGTGGAGAGGTTGTGCAGTCGACTGATAAAAGAAAGAATCAAAAACCAATATAAAAAAATAGAAGATCAGAGTGGATTTCGTGCTGACAAATCTTGTGTTGATAATATTTTTGTACTTTAACAAATTATGGAGAAAAAACAGACAGAAATTATCGATCAATTAGTATTTGTTGACTTAATAGAAGGCTTATGCCGTATAATTAATAATATTGTTTGAAATATTGACGAAGGCAGTCCTAAGTAATACATACATCAACGCTCTAGCGAACATGTACACACATGCAAAAAGTGCCGTCAAAATAGAGAATAAAAGACCATACAAAATATGTCATACCATGATAAAGACATGGATGAAATGATTTAAAGGTTAACCAAAGAATACGAACGTTATGACTCAGAATAAATATTACCAAAACAAACGGAATATTTTAGAATAAAGGGTGAAGAAAGAGACCCCCAACTCCCGATTAAAGATTGAAAAAATGCAAAGAATTTAAATACCTAGGAAAAGTGATAACGAATACAGGAACATCGAATCAGCATATTCAGAAAAAAATATAACAGGTCTAAAATGTGGTACAAACAGTAAACTCATTACATTGGTCTCCTAAAATTAGTTTGTACAAACAGTAAACTCATTACATTGGTCTCCTAAAATTAGTTTAGGAACAAAAATTACAATCTACAAGTTGTTTGTAGAACCAATTATGACGTATTGATCTGAATGTTGGCAAACGACGATGAAAGAGTAGATCAAGACTTGATCACATTGTAAATAAAAAAATAAGAAGAATAGGAAGGATTTACAATACCGTAGATACAATAGAATCCAAACAATTTTTATGGACATGGGCATGTAATATGTCACGAGGTAGAAGAGGAAATAGGCATTAAAATAAACTCAAACAAAAGCAAATTTTTAATGTTTAGTCATAACCCACATCCCGATGCAAAGCTTCAATTAAACAGAGTCAAAGTTAAGAAAGTTCACAAAATGACATATTTGGGAACTGTGATAACGGACCAACTACAGTATTGTGCGAATTAATAGAATCACTGTGAATTTTTTTTTCATTTTTCAATATTCACAGTTGGCAACACTACCTACACAGTTGACAGCTGACCAAGCATTGAAAACATAACCTTACTGTGTGTTGATTTGTTTGAGTGTGTTTTAGGTCATTTCTTACCAAGCTTGTATTGTTTTGGGGGTTTTTGTACTATTTTGTGTTGTGTTTGGTTTTATTCCAACATGGATATTACGCCTAGGAAGCGTGAAAAGATTGTCACGTTGAGTGAACACACTAGTATGTCACAAAGAGAGATTGCTAGAACGTGTGGAGTGAGTCAGGGGGTAGTAAGCAAAATTTTGAAGCGTAAACGAGAAACGGGATCAGTGGATGTGAAAAGGTAAGAAAAATATGGAAGAAAGAGAAAAACAACACCAGCAGATGATAGATTTTTACTTCGAAAGAGCAAATTGGACCCAAGAAAATCAAGCCAAGACCTACAGCAAGATCTAGCAGCATTAGCTATAGTGATTCATGACTCAACGTCGTAGAAGACTTTTGGAGAATGGTAGAAGGGCAATTCGTCCACAGAAAAAACAGCTTCTAACTGAACGAATGAAGAAACAAAGGCTACTGTGGGCCAAAAAATATTCTAATTGGACTGTAGTCGACTGGAAAAAAGTCCTATTTACAGATGAAACCCACTTTATAGTTCAGGGACAGCGGTCGAAATTCGTCAGGAAGTCTGACAATGAAAAGCTTTCACCATCTTATATTGATCAAACCGTAAAACATCCAGTCAAGAAAATGTTTTGGGGATGTTTTTCATACATGGGGGTTGGATCTTTGGTGCCAATTGAAGGCATGATGAACAGCCAAAAATACAAATCCATGTTGGAAAAGTATTTGGACAAACAACTCTAAAAATGTCAACCCCAAGGAGAAGCGATTCTTCAACAGGACTCTGCTCCCTGTCACAAATCAAAGGAAATGATGGCATTTTTTAAAAATAAGAAGACTAATGTTTTAGATTGGCCCGATAATTCGCTCGACCTCAACCCCATTGAAAATTTATGAGCCATTTGCAAAGCTAGACTGCGAAAAATCGACTGTATCACTAAAACAAAAATGATAGAAGCGGCCATTCATGTTTGGTATCAAGATGAAAGGATATCTGACAACTACCAGAAACTCATAGAATCTATGCCAAAACGGGTAAAACCAGTAATTGCTGCCAAAGGGGGACATATTTCCTACTGAATGATGTAAGTTTACCCTTATAGTTTTGTCAAAATATAATTTTTTACTAAATAAATTGTTTTTTCATTAAAACAGCCTATGATTCCATTAATTCGCACAATACTGTAGATCCAGACATAGAAATAAAACGTAGAATAGCAATAACTAAAACTACTTTTATGAAAATGAAGTTATTTCTTTGCAATAACAAAATGTCTTATTTGGGACATATAGAAAGGGGAAGTCGATACAAAATATTACAACTGATCCTTAAAGGCAAAACATTCGTAAATGGACTCAGACATCAAATGCAGGACAATTATTCCATATTGCAGAAGATCGAGAAGCCTTCGCAATGGTGATTGCCAACATCGGATAATTCTGATATGGTACGCGAAGAAGAAGAAGGGCATGTAATGCGAATGGAAGATAAACAACGGCCAAAACAGGCCTTAAACTAGACGTATAAAAAGGAAAGGAAGATCAACATTAAAATGGAGGGAAGAAATCAGAGTAATAATAAAAGATAGAGCCATAAATTAGGAAAAATGGATAGGACCGACAAAAAACGGTGGAGATCAAAATGTGAGATGCTGTTACAGCTCGTATATATAAATATATATATATATATATATATATATATATATATATATATATATATATATATATATATATATAATATATATATATATATATATATATATATATATATATATATATATTGATCGTTATATTTCTCTCTCTCTCTCTCTCTCTCTGGTTCCAGTCTTGGAAACTGGTGTGTTTCTTGGCGCAAAGTGTAAAATTGTTGACTAGCTGATAGCGACGCTCGCCATAATTAAATGTAGATAAATGGCACATTGTTAGCCACACTGTAGGTTATATGGAAGGTAAACCAAAAATTTATAAGAGAGTAGACTAACAAATCCCTATTAGAACTGTTAGGATCCGTTAAATTTATTTAGGTGGTGCATGATCGTTAACAAGTAATGAAGATACGGTAATATAAAAAAAGAAGATAACTTTTGGATAGGATGGAATTTGAACAAAACTATTAAGACAAAAATGTCGACGATTATGAAAGAGATAGTATTGAGCAATAGATCAAAATCACAGTAAGGAAAAGAATTGATAAAAACGCAATAAGAAATATTGAAATAATGGAAATACGGAAGAATAGTGGGGTGTAGAGTTGTGTTATAGAGGTAGCACCTTTTATCGGGACGACCACATCGAGCGTCATAGACGGGAGATGGTTCTTGCTAACTGGCCCTCATAAGACAACTAACTCTCACTTATGGCTCCACGTGCCACACCCCGGGCAATTGCATTGGTCTGCAGGCTAAACTAAGTGAGGGTAGCCAGATATGGCGAAAATTTTTACCGAGCAATTGCCGGTATAAGCGATTTCCCACTTGCTGTCCAACGGCTTTAGGCGGATGAGCTGGTAAGTGGTAGGGATCAAACTAGCACGCAGCGTCTGACCCAGAGTGGGCGGCTGCAAATAGCGTCTGTGTCCAGATGATCGGCTAAAACACAAACCAGAGAAGGCAACGGGAAACCATTCTGGTATATATTTCCCAAGAAAACTACAATGAAAGCACAAACAGAATTGGCCCCTAGTCCCCGGCAGATCTTAGATGATCAAGTGGTGCGAAGAATTCCCGGGAGAAATAGCCTAAATATTTTAAATACAAACTTTAAGATTGCAACATGGAACGTTAGAAGTCTGTTCGAAACAGGAAAACTAGCAAATGCATGCCACGAAATGAAACGTTTAGGGTTGCAGATATTGGGTTTGAGAGAAGTTTAATGGCCAGGTTCAGGTAAAGTTAAAACCATGAACAAAACTTTCTATTACTCGGGTAATAACGATCCGGTTCATCGTAACGGGGTTAAAGTAATTTTAGAAGACAAATATAACCATGCCGTCACAAACTTTGTGCCATTTTCGGACCGATGTCTTCTTATTCAACTATCCGGAAAGCCAGTAAATATTAACATCATTCAAACTTATGCCCCTACGGCCGATAAACCCATAGAAGAGCTGGAAGCGTGATATGCTGACGTAGAAAAACTAATAAAGATGACCAAAAAACGAGACCTAACATTTATCTTAGGTGACTTTAATGCTAAGTTAGGTAGAGGAAAAGTTTCTGGATTGATCGGAAACTTCGGACTTGGAGCAAGTAACGACAGGGGAGAGAGAATGACCGAATTCTGCCAACAACACAACATGGTAGTGACAAATACATGGTTTAAATTACACCCTCGCAGATTGTACACTTGGACTTCACCACAACACAATGAAAACAGAGTAATCCGTAACCAAATAGATTACATATTGGTCAACAAAAG